TATTATAATTAAATTTTTTTAAAAAATTGATTCTTTATCAAGAAATATTTTTCATCACATATGAAAATTAATCTCTTTTAAAAATTTGAGAAATATCAAATAAATAGATATCTCCTTCAAGTTATTTAAAATATACTATTTTTTTAATAAAAAAATAAACTATATATAAAATTTTAAAAGCCCCACTGTATAATAACCCTCATCAATGGTATTTGAATGAATTCCGAGCACAAGACTTTCTTGCACACTATTGGATGCAATTCGTTATTACAAAATGCAACATAAAAACTAAAAAAAAATAAAAATGTATGAGTATTTTGTGAGTTGAAAACCGAAAACTGCAACATAAATTAGTTATTGATTTTCTTGCTAAACATAGGAGCAACAAACACTAGTCTAGGTTGAAAGGAAAACAACGAAGAAGGTGAAAACAAGCTTCCTATGTTATGGAAAAGCGACAGAAACAAATAATATACCAGATTACAAAAAGGAAAAATAAATTGTAATAACGATAATTTATTGTTATTTACAGTTGTAAAATATTGTTTCTTATATTTTGTGTTGGAATTATTTAATTGGTCGCGTCTTGAGCTTCCGTGTTGGGTGTTTTGTCTATGCCATCGAAGATCACAGTTGAATGCGAGCTTCACTCCTCACTGCTGCCCTTCCTTCACACATATCCCCAATCTCAATCCTACTTATAAACACTTTACCTTTGTCCACCTCTCTCTCTCTCTCTCTGTTATTTACGTTTTACTTTATTTTATTAATTCATGTAAATCAAGATTAGGGTTTATCTCAATTTGCTCTGTACAATTTTAAATCAGAACTTGTGTTTTTATTCACTCTCCCCACCCTGCTGCGGCAATATTAGGGATGCTATTTTCATGCTGCAAATCCAGTTTCTCACAAGTAATTGAGAACGTGTTAGGGTTAGGGTTTTAAATTCTTATGCATTTCATTTGAACCAACATGGAGAGCACGCGCAGATCCTTGGATAGATCCAGAGAACCGGGTCCCAAGAAGCCACGATTGATCGACGAACTCGGCGCACGACAGTTACCTCAACGACAACAAGGGTCTGGGGCAGTTGCTACGTTGGCATCTGTGAGGTTTCGAACGAATGACAGAGACTCCGAAAGCAGCGATTCTGGTCGTGGTGGCGGGTACCAGCCTCAGCCTCCGCCGCACCAAGAGCTTGTTGCTCAGTACAGGACCGCCCTTGATGAGCTCACTTTCAATTCGAAGCCCATAATTACCAATTTGACTATTATTGCTGGAGAGAACCAATCTGCTGCCAAGTCAATTGCTGCCACGGTTTGTGCTAACATTCTAGAGGTGAACCTCAGTTTCAAATGTGTTGTGATTACTGAATTGTATTGTAATGGCTTTGGAATAAAGAAAGAGCAATTCCACTTGATTTCTCTGGTTTGTGTTGAGTGGTGTTATTGTTTTATCATGCTATACGATGATGAGTTGATTAGTTTGTATTCTGTTTCTACCTAGCCAAGAAAAGGACATTCATAGTTCGATGGATTTAATTTCATTTCTTTGCCCCGAAGATTTATTGGTTCTTAAGTGGTACTGTGTGGTACACTCTACCTTAAAAGAATGAAAAACATATTTAGTTTTCCAATCAGAGTTACAAAGAAAAAAGGCTGTCGTTTTGCCAACTGACCGTAGTTTGGTTAATTTTGACTATGCTTGCAACCGATAATCAGGGCCATTGGGGAGTGCTACTCCACAATTTGCCTGGCGTTTTCTTCATTTTGTATGCAAAGGGATTAAGAATCTTGGGAAACATCAATTTTTTTCTTTGACAACGTGGGGAGAGAAGTGAACATTAAACGGTTTCCAATCTCGATCAGTACTGAAGTCCACTTTTGGTGAAATTCAATGCTAAGTTCTGATTGGATTATATGTTGTTAATTTTAGTTGTTTTCCTTGTTTACATCTGTCAGAAATCTTATTCTCTCATTGTGTCTTTGTATTATTAAAAAATGTCTTGTTTAATTGAGATAATTTAATGCCTTTCCAGGTTCCAAGTGATCAAAAACTGCCATCTCTTTATCTCTTGGACAGTATTGTTAAGAACATCGGGCAGGATTATATAAAATATTTTGCTGCCAGACTGCCTGAGGTCAGATATTTATTGTCTTTAACCATTTACTTTCATGTCTTTATTTTGATATATTTCTTGTCTATGGTGAATCCTTCAGATTGTGAAGCTATGAAATTTTATAATGAACTGTTCTGATTTATAGAAGTTAGTTACATGAATCATTAGATTGTAAGAATTGTTGCATTTCGCTTAAACATGAATAATCTAATTACCATGAAATTGAAACAGTTTTTCCCTTTGCATTTTCCCTTTGTTATATGTTTTCTAATTATATACACCTATTTTTAACTAGGTACTACTACTTTACATTTTAGGTATTCTGCAAGGCATACAGACAGGTTGATCCTTCGGTACATTCAAGTATGAAACATTTATTTGGAACTTGGAAAGGAGTCTTTCCTCCTCAGTGCCTTCAGATGATTGAGAAGGAACTTGGCTTTGCACCTGCGGTCAATGGCTCAGCTTCAGTTTCTGCTACAGTCAGGAGTGATTTGCAGTCACAACGGCCACCTCATAGTATCCATGTGAATCCCAAATATTTAGAAAGGCAGCGTCTTCAGCAATCAAGTAGGGTAGGTGAAACCATTGCACCAAAAATTTCTCCTTTAAAGTTTTGAAATATTGGTTTTTAATAGGAATCAGTCAAGATTGGACTGTGTTATAGAATTTTTATGCTATGAATTGAAAATTGCAGTCGTGTGTTCCTTGGATGATGAAACAGGACTGGAAGACGTTGGTATCAAATTTTGATTTCGATTATGAGACACTATACAGTACTCTTGCAATAAGTGTATTTGAATTGGAATTTTCCATTAAACTAATTTGAATTTCTTTATTCTTCTTAATAATGAATTATCCTGATTCTGGTGTTGTTTTATGGTTTGAGATGTGATACATGTGCTATTAACCTTGTTAAACTTTATTTAAAAGTAATATTTTGAATACCATCATCATATTATTTTCATATTCATATTTGAGATGTCTGTTTTTGACTCTGTTACTGTATCTTAAAGTCTGATTCACAATTCAAGTGTTTTAATCCACCATACTTATTCTGATACCAATGTTTTCCTTTATATATATATATATATATATATCATATTTCTTGTACTTATTAGTTATTTCTTTTGCCATGGCCTTTTTTTTTTATGTCTTGAAGAGTAAAGGAGGAGTTAATGATATGACTGGAGCTATTTTAAATTCAAATGAGGATTCAGAGAGGCCAGATAGGGCTTTGGGTGCTTCACGTCCGTGGCTGGATCCTAGGATTAACATGCAGGTGTGTGAAGTAGCTTTGGTGTTCCTCTTTTTACTATTCACTCTATCAGTTGTCATATTTTAATGTAGTGGTGTATATTGCAGAATAATCAGCACATTCATAGAGATGCATTTAATGATTCTGTTCCTGAAAAGAACTTTGGTGGATCATATGGGGGCAGTGAATACAGTTCTGGCATTTCAAGTAATTTGGTTTCAGTGGCTGGAAGAACTGCAAGTAGGCTTGTTGATTTAGGACATGACAAAACATGGTTCAAAACAGGTGGTGATGATGCAGAGATCATATCTGGGCAAAGAAATGGTATCAGTCTGAAGCGTAGTTTTTCAAATCATGATGCACCAAAGTCCATGAATTTGGATCCACATCGTCAGCCAAGACCAAACTTAATGCCAGGTAATTGGAAAAATTCTGAAGAGGAGGAGTTCACGTGGGATGAGATGAACTCTGGTTTGATTGATCATGGTCCCAATGTCTCAAGCAATTTGAGCAGAGACTCATGGATGGCCGAAGATGAAAATTTGGTAAGCTTGCTAAAAGGGTCAGTTGCACATTGCCATTTATTCATCCAGTTGCTTTCTCCTAATTTATAAAATGTAGTACATTCCTCTCTTTTCTAAATAAAATGAAGTAGATTTGTCTTTGATTTAACATGATATTCTTTGAAATGGTGTCTCGTGTCTTCTAAATTAATAACTGTTGCTAATTTGAAAAGAACTTGTCCCACAAGTGATTTTTTGACAAAACAATTAAAGACCAATTAATTGTGTCAATTTTGATCAGGAGATAAGCGCGTATGACTTTTTCTACAATTAGAACTTCATATAGAGCCATTGTTTTTCTGTTTATCTTGATTGCTTCTCTCAGATTTGACACTCATAATGTATTTACGTTGTCTCCAAAATGATGAGAATGAAACAACAATGATAGGCCGATTAATCTGTGATAAGAGCACTCTATCATCAACTTGTCAGCAACCACAACTCAAATATAGGGGTATTTGTTATTTTCCTTATAGGTAAATTGAAATAAGGGGTATTTTTTATTTTCCTTATAGGTTGATAGAAATCTGGGGGCATTTTGCCCAATTAATTTGATTATAACAGGCACTAATTTATCAAAGCCAAGCAATCTTAACTTAAGTTCTGAAGATCCTGATACAAACTAAGAAAAAAAACCCTAATTTAATTTGGCATAAGATATCCCCCCGGTTTCCAAACATTCAAATAATTAAACCACTGTATACCTAATTACAAGCCTGAGTTACAGGTGCATCATAAATTGATTAAATTGTTTGAATTACATGTATATTTTATTGGATATACTTAACTGATTTATTTTTTCCTGTACAGGAAGGTGAAGACCACCACCAAATCACTCGCCATTTTAAGAAACAAATACCTGGTTTTGGGGGCCATCCACCATCATCATGGCAATTGCAGAAGCACCACCCAGTTGATAAGCTGAATCTGAAGCCAGGTTATTCAGAAGCATTTGTGTCTACTCTTGGTGGTTTACCAGCCAACGCAAGTTCGTTGGCTGTCAAGAAGGTGAACCAGTCTTTTATGCCGAATGCAGTAGTAGGAATGGCCAAAATTGCAGGACAACAATCTGATTCTGGGGAAACTGAATCCCCTTCTGGCCAGTCACCTTTGCGACAACAGTCTCCATCATTGCCAGGAACAGTACACCACCCTCATTCAATGCAAAATTTGGTTGAGCAAGAAATGCCGCAGAATCTCAAAACAACTCAATTTTTGGGAGGTCCGAGAAGTCAACATATTAGAGATCCCTCTCCTACCCATCGGCCCATTGTTCAGGTTAGTAACTTGCGAAGATCACAGGAAAAGGACATGCAGGGCCCATTATCTTCTGTAACATCTTTCCGACCAAAGCTTCAGCAACAGAAGCTGGACCCTTCTCAGACTGTTACTGCTAAAACTAAGCTGCCCCAATCTAAAATTTCTTTAGCCAGAGAAACATCAGAACAGTTGACCCCAATTAATTTGCCAGCTGCAGCTATCAAGAGTGGAATCAACCCCAAAAAATCAATTACCAGTAATCTGGATCCAAGGAATCTTCCATCTCAGTCTGGGGTTCAGCCTACTCGGGCTGGTAGGTCTTCTACCACGCTAATTTCTTCAGGGTCTGCAGTTGCATCACCATCTTCATTAGATCCTCGGCATAATGATTCATCCACACTGCCAAAAAAACCTCAAGTAAAGGCTGGACAACCACCACGAAGGCTTTCTACTCAACCACCCGCTTCCTCTAATGTGAGCAGTTCCTCAGCCCTGAGCTTAAATGCTACCAATAACTTAAATCCGATTACAAACCTTTTAAGCTCATTGGTTGCAAAGGGTTTGATATCTGCAGAAACAGAATCGCCAAATATGGTACCAAGTGAGGTGCCGATGGGATCCAAAGATCAAACTGAAAACATTACCACTAGTTGCTCTTCACCAGTTACAACAGTTTCTGGTTCTGTAGCTGTCCCAGTATCATCTTCCAGAGATGAGGTAGACTCTGCTTCAAAGACCTCTCTTTTGTTACCTCAATCAACTAGCACGGAAATCAGAAATCTCATTGGCTTTGATTTTAGACCCAATGTAATTCGAGATTTCCATCCACCTGTAATTAGCGAATTATTGGATGATTTCCCTCATCATTGCCAAGTTTGCGGTATTAGGCTTAAACTAGAAGAACAGTTTAATAGACACTTGGAGTGGCATGCCACAAGAGAACATGGTCTAACTAATGCTTCAAGAAGTTGGTACCCAAAGTCAAGTGATTGGATTGCTGGCAAGGCAGAATATTCATCCGATCTTGAATTTACCGACTCTGTTGATGTGCATGACCAAAAAACAGACAGCAGTCAACTGGATACGATGATTGTAGCAGATGAAAACCAGTGCTTGTGTGTATTGTGTGGCGAGCTATTTGAAGATGTCTACTGTCAGGAAAGGAACGAGTGGATGTTCAAAGGGGCCGTTTACATGAACTACACAGATATCAATAGTGAGATGGAAAGTATAAATGTGGGTCCCATCATTCATGCCAAATGCTTATCAGAGAACTCAATTGCCGCCAATTTGGTAGGGCCTAATATCTGATGTTAGTGAATGTCTTTATAGTTTGATGTTTTGACTTAAAAGCTACAATTGTCTACTTGAAGGAGCGTGTTTAAATTTTGGTAGTAATTTTGATTGGATCTGTTCTATTTTTGCAGGATAATGATTGATGATTTACTTCTATAGCATTTGAGCTATGGCGTAGTCATAAGCTTACCAAGGGTACCCACCTAGTTTCACATTGCATGCTAATTTTTGATGGTCCCTTTATACTGAAATTTATTGCCTCTAACCGGTCCTTAGAGCTGTCAAACAAATTTTGTGCTCGTTTTTGTTTATTATTCTTGTACCCGGGAAAAAAATTACGTAGTGTTCAAAATATATAAATGCGAGATAGAATTTTGCAGCTAAACTTGATCGTTGATGTGGTTAACATTATATCACTATGTAGAGGCGGATTTTGTGCATTTAACGTATATTGTGATAATAATAAGCAAAGAACCCAGGCCATGGTAATCCAAATGTCCGATTACATATGTATCGGTTAAATAACTATGATTTTGATTTCCCTCTTAATTTTCCGTTGTTGAACTGTTGGGAAATGGAAGTAGCGTGACCTATTTCCTTTCTGAATTTCTCACCTAGTCCTATTTGGCTCATTGTAATTTTTCTGGTAATTGTTGACTTTTTTATGTTGTCTTTGCGGGAGAGAGTATATCCTTGTTGGATGCACCGAATTTAGTTTGACGTACAGACAAATTTCATCCCATTTCTGTAAGGTAAGTATGGGTGTCATCCTCGAAACTGATTTGAACAATTTTAAATATCCATTTCATATCTTCCATCTTATTTAATTTTTTTTAATCATTTTCATATACAAATCTCAACTATTTCACAACATATGTTCCTAAGTTATACAAAAATTGTTATTCTTATTTTTTTTATTCTAATTGTTAATCACTCGCATTTCATTTCAATTAATTTTTTAAAAATATATAGAGACACTTATTGCCTTTTTTAAACTAGTAATAATAAAATTCATAAAAACTAAACTAAAGTCAACTACACATAATTGATCTGATGAATAAATCGTTCTAATTTAAATGTTGATTTTTGATTTGATCAATTAGTCTGATCCAATTTTTATAATAATACTTTACTTTCTTGTTAGTTTTAAAATTAAAATAATGAATGAGGATGAGTGATTTAAGTAAGAAAAAAGTTGTAATGGATTATCGATGTCATACAAAAGGATCATACAAAAGGAAGGAGAAACACGTCAAAATCCTATGCAGTGAATTTAGTTAGTTTAACAAGTGTTTTGATTAAATTTTTGAATCATTATAAATAAAAATATATAAACAGAACTTTTGTAGTTCAATTACATAAAACACTTTGAAATATATTTTTGCCTCACATCAATCGCTACCGGTTCAATGAGTTAAGTATATACTTCTAATTTCAACCACTTTTAAATAAAACCTTCACATTTGTACAAATTTAATATAATTCTCATTTACTTTTCAGAACTTTTCTTTCCTTCATTTTCATTCTTCTTCTACATTTTTCAAGTCAGTTAAATCTACTTTTAATCAAGTTTCATTTTTGCAATTTGGTTTACTTTTCTAGTTACGTTTCACTCTACTTTTAATTCCATCGTTTCTTCTTCTCACTTCTTTATTTAAATTGTATCTCTTTAAATCGGGGTATTTAATTTCCCAAAGATTTATATTTTGCATTCGAATTTAATTTCTTGCACATTTGTTTCAAGCAATTATTTTTATAAGTCTTTAATTTAACTTGCATTATTTCTTCATCTTTCTCCCTTGTTTTAATTTTCCTTGCAATTTACAGTCTTTTCTTTATATTTATTAATCGGAGATCGGATACATCTTGCGACTTTTTTTTTTTAATATATCAATTTTTTTTTTCTGAATAACCTCACCCCTATTTTATTTATCAAAATGACCCATTTACTATTTAAGGTGAGAAATCGGTTGGGAAGAACTGATTTCTCACCTTCAATTTTTATAACTGTAAAGATTTGCGGTGAGAAATCGGTTAACTTGAAACCGATTTCTCAACTACGTTATTTTGTTTTTTTTTTTTTTGGTTTTTGGTTTTTTTTTTCGTTTTTGTTTTTGTTTTTTTCGTTTTTGTATTTTTTTTTCGTTTTTGGTTTTTGTTGTTTATTTTTTTTTTCGTTTTTGTTTTTTTTTGTTTTTGGTTTTTGTATTTTGTTTTTTATTTTCGTTTTTGGTTTTTGTTTGTTTTTTTATTTTTATTTTGTTTATTCAGATTTCTAATTTTTTATTTTCGTATATTAATTTTAAATATTCAGTTTTTTTAAATTTTTTTAGTATTTTCAAATAAAATAATTTAGTTAAGTTTGTAGAATAAAAATAAATAATGAAATAATTATTAATTAAATAAATAATGAAATAAATATTAATTAAAAATTTTAACAAAAGATAAAATATTTATATAAAATACTAGAAAACAAAATACAATATTTGGAAGGTTTGATGACATTTTAAGGTTGATGACTTGAACTTCCTTGACGGTAAGGACATTTTTTCTTTGAGTGACCTACATTTCTGCAGAGAGAACATCTTTTTGGTTGTCCTGGTTCAACCATATCCATTTCAGTGCGTATTCTGGATGACTTTGGACGACCTTTTTTATTTCTAATCTTTTCCGGATTTGGTATGATTTGCGGTTCTTCACAATCCGGCCAATAAGATTCATTAGGCAGTTCACCAAATAATTCGTTATACACATTTGAAACATATTGTAATGTGTATACCGGATCTATGTAAGATTTATAATCGTGGTGAACATGCTTACATGCAGCAACAACATGGGAGCATGGCATGTGTAGCTTTTGGAATTTTCCACAGTCACACCAGTTGTCATGTAGTCTAACCGTGAAAGTTCCAGTAGGTCGTGTTTCCCTTGGGTTAATGGTCTCTTGCACCAAAAAACGTGTACTGTGACGATCAAATTCGAGGACATGATGAGTATTAGCCTTTGATTCTGCATCTCTCATGGCCCTATTCATTATTTCCGTATAAACTTGGCCAGCTCTAAGTTTAGCATCGACTTCCTTCTCCCTTTGGATGAATAAGGCATTACATCTCACTGCAAATCTTTACATGTTATAAAAATTGAAGGTGAGAAATCGGTTCCCCCCAACCGATTTCTCACCTTAAATAGTAAATGGGTCATTTTGATAAATAAAATGGGGGTGAGGTTATTCAGAAAAAAAAAATTAATATATTAAAAAAAAAGTCTACATCTTGCTCGTTTATGTGAGATTATACACATCAATGGGCTTCCACTCTCATCTATAAATCGTTAAGTAATTAAAAAAGAATTATAGAAGTCAATGCAAATGTCAATGCACCTGCACACATGCGAGCATGTGTTGTTGTATATACTTCACATGGATGGGGTGTTAGGGTCTCGTGGTTAAATTTTAAAAAAAATAATTTTTATTAAAAGATCTCATAAATGGAACAATCATTGTTTCACGGATCATACACTTATTAAAAATCACACTAAAAATTTAGAATTTTACCTTTAATGCGTGCTTTAAGGATTTCTATTAATGATATTATTTGCATGGAGTATTATCTATCTTTAACTATTGAATATTAAAAATATGGTACTTTATTTAGTTCACGCAAATAACACTAAAACGAGTTTAACCATAAAGAGAATAAGAGTAGTTTTGTGAGAATATACAAAATTTTAATTTTTACATTATTGGTAAAGTTAGAGTAATGTATCTTTTTATGGACAATTATTTAACTTAATTTGTATTCTTATTGGATTTGTGTAACACACATCCAATTTCTAATCCAATTTAATTAAATTTATTGTCAATTAATTAAATTTTATTTAATTAATTAACCATTAAATTAAATCTCATTTAATTTAATTTGTCTCAAATCTTAATGTATATGGCCATGTACGTTCTTAATTAAGCAACAATAATATTAAAATATCATATCAAATACAATATTAAATATTATAAACAAATATTGATATCTAACAATGCATCATTGTCACTCGAATTAATAAAAAAAAATCAGTAATCTGATTTCAACCTTCAGCAACCATATAATTATTGTAATATAATTTATTGCTTAGTTTATATGTTTTTTATTAAACATGAGACATAAAAGTGTCATTTTCGTTAAGTTAAATCATATGTTTCTCGTTACTAAATTGACGTTTAAACACAAATAGTTATCATAATTAGTTAGATTATTAGACTATTTGACATATATATATATATATATAACGTTTCGTTAGATAGGAACAGATTTGATAAATATTGATAACTCTCAGATAGAGTATTAGAACGGAAAAATCCATTAGATAATGAACTATTGGTTCTAAGCCATCTCTGGCAATGAATCAACAATTCTAAATGCTTTTCTTGCGTATTCTTGATAAACCAGTGTTTATATATAGATGTAGGAAGATCTGTTTGGGAAGTAAGAAGTTCCCTTGACATCTCTTCATCTGTAAAGAATTGTCGATGTGAAAATACAGAGACAAGAGGCTGATCTTTGAATAGGAAAAAGAGTGGATCCGCAGGATCCCAAATGAATTGGCTTATTTGAAAAAAGCCTTGTTCTTTGGAAGATCTATCTCGTGTCTGGTACTGCACGGTTCCACCCTGCAAGAACTCTGAATCATTCTCTTGAAGCTCATCCTCTTCATCATAAATGATCCGCTTGCCCCGAAATGACCTGGCCCAATAGGGAAATCCCAATGAATTGGGCCTTTCGATACAATCAAATAGAAAGCCCCAGGGGCGCCATATTCTAGGAGCCCAAACGATGTGATTGAAAAAATCCTCCTCTATCTGTTGCGGGTCGAGGATCCCCCCCCTTCTTCAAACTCCGATTCATATTTTTCATAGAAAAATCTCTGATCAACGATAGAATAAGATCCATTTTGAATCATATTTAAGGGATTCCTTGGTTCAGATCGAAGAAGCAATGTCACTTGATCATTATCAAACTGACTGCAATCTTTTTTTGTCCATGAGATTTATATATATATATATATAAAATAATAATAATAATAATAATAATTGTAACTACTAGAAAATTGAGAGCAGATGCAAGTGATCTGAAGTTCATGATATCGGAGCTCATAGTACACAAAGAACAAGAAAAGTTTATGGAATAAGATATTAATTTTAAAATTATGTATAGTTAAATTGTAAAATAATATATATATAGA